TGATCTGCAATGGATCCCGCAGGCGATTAGCTCGAGTCAGACTCGCCGTTCCCGATAGGTGTTAGTGAGCCTTTCGCTTCGAGCTCAAAACTGTGACTTAATTCTCGGCTGAAAGCGTTTCGCCGCCGCTGCTGCCTGCAGTCGTGATTCTTAAGCTTTGAGCGAGCTCGCCGCGGATTGCGGCTATTAAGGCAGTGCGGGCAAGATAGCACTTGGAGCAAACTGCTCGCTACACCTGTCGTAGAACCGGGCCTTGGGGGCACTTGAGACTATCCCAAGTTTCTCGGTACTCGCTATCAATACTCCAGTTGGTACTCGCCGCTCAAAACTCACCGAAAAAGAGTCTGCGACGAGACGCGTGGCTGATAATGTGCTCGGGCGGCAGACCAAGAACCTCCATGATGCAGGCGAGCTGTTCTATCTCGTCCTCGCCCGGAAACAGCGGGTACCCCGTATACAGCTCCGCCAAGATACAGCCCAGGCTCCACATGTCGATCGGCGTGCCGTAAGGAAGGCCGAGGATCACTTCCGGGCTCCTGTAGAACCTGGACTGTATGTATGTGTACACGCGCTGATGGCTGTAACACGACGAGCCAAAGTCTATGACTTTGATCGAGCTGCTTCCCCGTTGCTTCAGCAGCACGTTCTCCTGTAATAGGCCAACACACGGTTTAGGGTAACAAAGAAGCTGATGTGAGAGAGAAGTCGGCGCGAGTGAAACGCGAATATGCGCACCGCGGCGGCGCTTGCACTCACCGGCTTCAAGTCGCAGTGAATGATATTCTCTCGGTAGAGCAGTCTCAGGCAACTAATTAGCGAGTTGGCGAAACGGCGAATTAGGCTCAGACTGAATCCCTGGTAGTTGTTCTTTTTGATTAACTCGTACAGATTCAAGCTGCAACAGAAAGGCGCGCCCAGACGCGCGGCGTTTTTTTTCTCTCTTTTTCTTCTTCTTCTCCTCTCTTTCATTATTCATTATATCCGGCTAACGAACTCTCGCACGCGCGTCTCGCGCCACGAGGACGCGAGCACTTCGAGAGACTCCTCATTATACCGGTTGATCGCTCACCTCATTAATTCGAAGCTGATGCACAGGTGATTCCTGAAGTAAAAATACTCTAACATGTGTATCACATTGTGCGACGAGTTCGCCTCCAAGTCCTTCTTCCTCAGGTGCTCCAAGATCCTCACCTCGATGAGCGCCTGATGATGGAATCTCTTCTTGTTCCTGCAAGGACAGTGAAAGTCGCGCTGATCAAACGAAGAAACGCCGCGCGCATTCGCGGAATGCGCTAACCCGGAAGGGGAGGGAAAAATTCCATGCCGGATGTGCTATTATCCGTGCATCATCGCGCGGATCTCTTTTTTCTTTTTCTTTCCCAGATCGTAGACTCACGGTGTGTGAGTCAGCATCGCGCACGCGAGTGCGCGCAATGATGACCGCACCGTTTCCGCGTACCTGATGATCTTGATGGCGATGTGCTGTCCGGTCTTGTGATCCAGCGCTCGAATCACCTGGCCGAAACTTCCCTTGCCGATCACCTCCAGTATCTCGTATCTGGACGCAGAAAACGTTTCGATGACGTTTCGATTTACAGGACATGTCGCGAGAGCGGGGGAGGGGGGAACATCGCTTAAGGTGAATCGGTCCCGATTAGCAGTCGAGTGACTTTTCGTCGTCAAAAGAGATTAATAAATGAGTAATTTATGCGTTAAACTCTGAGTGCACAATGTCGGTTTGGTTGGGAAGCCTAGCCTCTCGATTGCGTTAAATTCCTTCAATCTAGAAGATTTTTATTTATTTCTGACATTGTATCACAAAAAAGTCTGAAGCGCCACTTAGCGATGAGTGACAGTTTAGTCTTGAAAAAGTTGAAGAAAAACTGCACAAGTCTAACAAACAGACATCTGACGTTGACGATCAACTCTTAAGAAGATGAGTAACTGTTTAAATTGTCATTATGGCTTTTAATTCTAATGCTCAAAGCTTGTTGAAACCGACAACAGCAGAAACACATGTTTAGAGTAAATATGCATCCGTACGATTAACGAATTTGCCGGAGGCGAATTGATGCGATTGTCGGAAATGGCGACATTGTCACATATTAATTGGCGCATTCATTTTATATATATTTACGAAGGAGTAACGAAAGAGGGCGCTCGCGACGCGCGCGAGCTTCGTTTCCAGCCGACCGTCGCCGCCGCGGTGATGTTGCGTGAGAGAAAATATATCAGGGCACTTTTTTATCTCCTGTTTCGTGCGCTTTACCGGCGTACGTTTCGAAGCGCGCGCGCGCGCGCGCTGCTGCGCAGTTTTCCGACGCAATTTCTCCGGCGAGAGAAACGACAACAACGAGAACGGACAACGTGCACTCGCTCGCTCGGAATGCGACCGCGCGTGCCCGCGATTCTAAGCCGCGAGGCTGAGCAACGCCGCGCAATCGACGACAACAATTAACTCCTTGACTGGCGGAAGTGCAATACTGCGTTCTGCTGTTTCGGATATAGTGCGACATTTCTCAAATTGGCTTTCCAAAGGTTTCTGAGATCGCTCTGTTCAATGGGGGATTTCAAAATTCAAGATGGCGAGTGTGATATGACCGACCCGAGATTGAAGTCGTAAATGAAAGTTTTGCAAACACTTTGAAATATTTCGGGACTTTTCAGCTTGCTCTTTTCACTGATGAAATTCAAAAATAAAAATTCGAAACGGCGAATCCTTAAATCAATATACATGGCCAAAGAAAAGTATCATCTGTATATTATATATACTTATCATTAGAAATATATATAATCGTATATTTATTCGTTATTTCGATATTTTATTATTTTATAGATTTCAGATAAACACTCTTTTCTAATCTACGGAGTTTTATCATAATTAAATAAAATTGTCAAAGTTTCCGGGCATCACATTGGATTCGCCGTTTTCAAATTAGTAATTTGGATAGTTAATTCATAACTAACTGAAAAATTAGATGTATAGAGTGTCATCATGTACACATATTGTGTAACTTGTCATTGTAAATCATATTTATTTGTCATTTTAATATTTTATTATTTTATAGATTTCAGATAAAAATTTTTTAAACATACATATTTTTATCATAATTAAACAAAATAACATTTCCGGACATTACATGGAATCCGCCATTTTCAAATTAGCAATGATAGTTAATTCGCAACTAAGTGAAAAATTCGATAGATATATATAGAGAATTTACATACAGTCTAATCTGATATCAGCAAAATATAATTACTTAGTTTTAGATTTTAGTCGCCCGAGACACTCCGAGTCCACCATTTAGAGTTTGAAAAATGTTGACTTTGTGCTCATAGACAGCGACCTGAGAGGACACTAAATTTCAATAACACTGCTCGACTCTCGGAAATGCGTGTTTTAGCAGCTTAAGCGAAATTCAGCCCGCCACTCAAGAAATTGAGAAAGCAGGAAAGTGCGACGGCCGGCGCGCCGTGAGAAGAAAAGGCGCAAGGACAGCGGGCGCGTGTGGAAGCTCACCTATAGGAGATGTGATCGTGCAGGACCTTGTTGTAACTGCCGTTTTCGTCGTCGTAGCCGCCGTTCTGGGAGGACACCTCCTCGCCGTGGATCTTGTGGGCCGACAGGCCCAGGTACCAGATCTCCGAGTACTTCTCGATCTCGGCGCGCTCAAACTCCGTCAGCCTGGAGCCGTAGTACTTCACCGCTTCCTGAGGTGTCATTGGCAGTCTCCCAGCTGTTTTATTTTTCCGTGAAACAACGGGGAGAGGGTGTATGAGTGCATGTGAGTTAAGTGCATGCTCGAAAGAGCGTGGAACGCTCGCGGAGTGCGTTGCGCAAGTCGTCTCCCTCTCCCGTCGTCGCCGACGCGCTCCAACAACTCGCGCGAATTATCCCGCGCTCGCTGGGACTCTGCGAGTTCGATGCGTCACGTTACGGGAGCGGGGATTGATTTTGCGCTCGTCTCACACGATCAAGTTCGATTCACGATTGGGGGCCATCGAGAGACGGAGGAAGAGCGGCTAATGTTCGTCGGCTTCGTCGGCACGGAGATACGAGCCAGCGGGACTCTGCGAGAAATATTGCTGGATCCTGCATCCGGTCTCTGAACTCGGTCGGTTAGTAATCGTCGCGTCCGAAACAATCGATTTCGAGATCGATGCATAAGTTCGTGCGCGACCGTTTGGTCGCGCGATTCGGTTTGCGCACTCCTCGCCGTGTGAAGTTGCAGAGCAGCGCCTCGAGTCGTCGCGCGAACAAGAGCCACTGCTGATGCGCAGAGCAGTAATCGGTTTATGATAATAGACAAGATACGTTTTATGCCCTTTATCGTATTCTTATCTGATAGATAAGATAATGAGTAGAGAGCTAAGAGTTTTTCTCGAATCGCCCGTTGCAGTTACATATCGTTACTGTGGTCCTGTCGTAACTAATTATGAGTCACAACTAGACTAGAAGTGATACAACTTTTTGTTCGCTTCAATACCAGAAAACGTGGAATACGTCGACGCAGACAACTGATTAACATCTCACACGGAGACGAATGGAGAATCATAGCTGATTTCTAACTACGAAAATGTAAAAATTTGTTTAAAAATTTCTAATTTGTATATAATTTATATAAAATAATATATAATATATTATGCATATTGTATTGTTTATTATATGTATGTGTATGTATTGTGTTTATATTATACAAGGTGTTTCAGAAATAGTCACTTTAAGAGCATATTCTACTCACCATAGGAATGCAAAAATAAGTCATATAATCATAGGTCCAGCAACATTTACTTTCCAGATTATGAACTTTCAAGATTATAAACAGATTATTTACAACATGTTTCGACGTGTTATGTATCATGCTTTAATCATTTTTTATTAGAAATAAATAAGTTAGCAGGCAGGTCTTTGGAATTGGAAGTCTTTATTTAAGTGTTTAAGAGTTAGTGTCAAAATGGCAGATTATTCTACTCTACTATAGCTCATTCTTATCAAAATTTGTTGTAAAAGTATTTATAATCTGAAAAGGAAACATTTCTAGGCTCATGTTTATATGACCTTTTCTTCATCCTTACAGTATTTATTTTTCTAGAACACCCTCTGTATGTGTGTGTGTGTGTGTGTGTGTGTGTGTGTACACACACACACAAAATTATATACAATTATAAATGAATTTATATTAATAGAATTTAATTGATATTGATATATAATTAACAAAATATGATTTATTCAAAGATAAAAAATTCCTCAGAGGAAACGACAATATGTATAAAACGATTGACGCATCGATTTCAAAGCCGGTTGCTTCGATGCAACGATCGAGTTCAGAAAGCGAGTTCAGGAGCGAGCAGCATTTTGCAGAGCCGCACTATGCGGCCGCTCGTAGGAGCAGAGCTCGAGAGAGCTCGCGTTCACCTCTCCGGGGAATTTGAATAACATATCTCACACGTGCGTGTCGTAAGGCCGTCGCGTATCGCGCGTAAATTCGCGTCAGCCGCGCGCGCTTTCATTCCTTCGCGTTTCGCTCGCGGCGTCTTAAACACACGTTCGGCCGGCGACGCGTGAAATGACAGCGCCGACGAGTAGCGCGCTTCCCACCTCGATAAGGTCCCAGAGCGCGACCCAGCGTGTAAGGTCGCGAATATCGCGATTTTCGCCGGTAATCACGGTGTTTCCCGTACCGTATACTTCGTGAGAAGTAGCGCTGAGGGGCTCGTGCAGCGGCATATTGTGGATGTTGTTGCTCGTGTTGGAATTGTTGGCATTGTTGTTGTCCGTTTTATCCACTCCGCGCGTCGGCTTGGTGTTGAAGAAAGACGGCAATTTCTGCAAGCAGACCGGGGAAAAAGAATCGTCACTCATTGTTTCGCTTCTTTGTTGAGCAGCCGCTCGGATAATAATGCACTTAGAAGCACATTCGCAACGCCGACTCGCCCTCTTCCGCTTCTCCCTCCAGCCCGATTCAGCAAACCGAGTCGAAAAACTCGCCGATTCTCGCTCGCCCACTCGCGTGCGCGGCGACCGTTGAGTTTTCGCGACGATATTTTACAATCAACGAGTTGCTCAAGGGGGGGGGGGGCAGCGGGGAAGAGCGGCCAGCCAGGCTCTCGCGGCTCGGTAAACCATTACCCGCCATAATTCTGCCGCGAAGAGCGTCGAGCGTTAATGACGGCAGCAGCTGCGACCGTTAATGTCGCGTAGCCGCGACAAAGTCACCGCGAAGGCGAGCGAGCAAGCGCGCGATTTCTCGCTAAAGCCGAAACATAAAACCGATTAAACGACGCGAGCCGGGAAACTCAACGTCGCGTCAGTCAAAGGATACGGGTGACGCGAGTGCCGGATGATGGAATTTTTCGCAGAACGACAACCGTCGGGAGAATTTCACGGGCGGATCCCACGAGGATCGTTCGCTCGCTCGCACTCAACATCGTGTCTCGCATCTATCTACGGCTCTGTCACTTGAATCTCTCCGAGACGCCTTCCGCGAGAAGGCGCGCGCGTGTCACTCCGCCGCAATTTCGGCGCCCACACACGAGGCGACATCGTCGTGAGAAAATATCGGGTACAAATGAATAATCCAAATTCTTCAGCTGAATTCAAGTTTTATTTTAAAAGAAAGTAAAACATAGTCAATCAAAGTATTCTCCGTTGTTTTCTGTGACCTTAAGGGGGAGTGGGGTGGGTCGGATTACTGAAAAATCCTGCTTGTTTTTTGATAATATTTTGTCACGAACTGAATAAATGTGCAAGAATGAAAAATTTTGATATATTTATATAACATATGAAGAGTAGAAAAATTTTGTTTATTAACAAATATTCATATAAATATATTTAAATTTTAAACGCGTTTCTCTCGAAATTTTATTGCTCAACTTTTTGCAGTAATTTCACCGAAACTGAGCTTCGTATCGATTTGAAATTTTAAAGCAATAATATTTGTTCATCTGGCTCTCAGGTGATCACCATGGATAACTCCGTCAAAATATTTCATTTCGAGATATTAATTGTTTTATTGTAAAAGAACTGAAAAATTTGAATTTTTTTCTAATAATAGCTGCCATTTTGTTAATTTTGTTCGATTTTTTTTTATAGTGCTTCACCGGATAATGATGAGTCTCCTTAAGATTTCTAGCTAAAATTCGCTCTGATCGGACCACCGAGAGCCGAGATATTATTGCAAAAACGACAATTTGAAAAAAAAGAGAGTATATTTCAGCTATATGTATCGTATATTTATATGAGTATTTGTTAATAAACAAAATTTTTCTACTCTTCACATGTTGTATAAATATACCTAAAATTTGCATTCTTGCACATTTATTCAGTTCATCGCAAAATATCGTCAAAAATAAGCACGATTTTTCAGCAATCTGACTCTCCAGTCCCCTTAAGCCATCTTTCAGGCAGTTGATGAATTTTCCATGTCGGAAAAATGTTGTGCCTTTGGACACGATAAAGTCGTCCAACCATTTTCGGATCTCATCCATTGATTTGAAGTGCATATCAGACAAGGTATATCGCATCGACCGGAACAAATGGTAATCGGTAAGAGCGATATCTGATGAATACGCCGGATGCTGCAAAATGTCCCAGTCAAGATTCATTATGGATGTATTTTGTTGTAGAAGCAATGTGTGGCCTAGCGTTATCATGCAACAATTTCACAGGACGTTCCCCTTTGCCACTATACGGGCGTTTTCGTCTTAATTCTCAAACTCAAACGGATTAATTGATAGCGGTAATTGTGTCAATCGGTTTTAATAACTCATAATAAATCACGCTCTTCATATCCCACCAAATGCGGAGCAGAATCTTCTTTCCAAAGTGTTTTGGTTTTGGCGACCGATGTTGATGGTTCGCCAGGATTTACCCATGACTTTCTGCGTTCCAGATAGTCATAGAGTATCCGCTTCTCATCGCCCGTAACAATTTTCCACAAGAAAGACTTTCTACGCTGCTTATTGGGAAGAGAAAGACACACTGCCACTCGTTGATTTTTGTTGACCTCGGTGAGTTCATGCGGAACCCATTTTCTTTTTTTCTGAATCCTCCCCATGTCGTGTGGGCGTTTGAAAATAGTTTGTTGCATTACTTCTAATTGCTCTTTTTGCGTTTGTGCTGAATTCTCAGCAAGCAGTCGCTCCAAATCATTGTTGCCGCACTTCCGAGGGCCTGCAGGACGTTCTTTGTCATTCAGACTGAAATCGCCACTTTTACACCGTCTAAACCAAAATTCACATACATCGTACGATACAACACCTTCGCCGAGAAAGGAACAAATCGATCCGCATGCTCTTGCAGCATCTTTCCCTTGTTGGAATTCGTAAAGAATGCAGGGTCCGATATGTCACTTTTCACTGTACTGAAAAATTTCTGAACTTTCCGGCGTACTAAATTATAATTATATAATTATATATTATATTATATAATTTTTATAATAGCTATATATCAACAGTATATAAACGTAAAAGAGCGGGAACATTTGATTATTTGAAACTTAATTTCTTAACCGCTTAAAAAAGTTTGGATTATTCTTTTGTACACCTAATAACAGCGCGCGATTATCCTCCACTCGGTTCTCGCGCGGAAAATCGGCCGAATCGCCTCTTCGTACAGTGGCGAGTATCGAACTCTTTTCTCTCTCTCTCTCTCTCTCTCTCTCTCTCTCTCTCTCTCTCTCTCTCTCTCTCTCTCTCTCTCTCTCTCTCTCTCTCTCTCTCTCTCTCTCTCTTACTCATTGTGAAAGCCATACGTCGGCAATCTGTTAAAGAAAGTGGAACGTACGACAAGACACGCGCCGTCTGTGCGTACGCACGCGTATGTGTGCGTGCGTGTCTCCCGTCTCCGTGCGTGCTGACCCCCGATTTAACAAGTTTAATGACACCGAAGTGACCCGGACAATTATTTCTGCGCTCCGAGAGAGCGCCCGAGCGAGCGAAGGAGCCATTAAAAAACGTTTCATCGGCGAAACGACGCCTTTCCGTGCAAGCCAAGGGCAGTCACCGGTCGTGAATGCATCGCGAATGACAATCGACCTCGGGGCCGCGCCGTTGTTCCCAGAGCTCCCGTCGTTCATTAGATTTCCTCGCGCGTCTCCTCTCTCTCTCTCTCTCTCTCTCTCTCTCTCTCTCTCTCTCTCTTTCCGCCAATGTTAATATTTATCACAGCCGGAGCCGCGCCGGCCACGGCGATCGATTTCGTACAGCGTCGTAGTCGCCGTCGCGGCCGCGCCGCGCCGCGCCGGCAGGAAACGTTTATGGAAAATATCCCGGAATAAGCCGGCGGGAACGTGGTCATAGTGCGCAGAGTGATAAATCTCCCGACTATCGGCGACACTTGCGGCGTCGTCTCCTGCCACACACGAGCTGATCGGTCAAGCACCCCGCGCGCGGACATTTGTATTCCGGGAGCGTCCGTCGCTCTGTCGGACGTCAAGAGCGCTTCATTTTCTCGCTCGGCCGTTCCTCTTCTTCTTCTTCTTCTTCTTCTTTTTCTTCCTCTGCGGACGATCCATGCTGATAACGGGATAACCACGAGCTTCTTAATGTTTCGTCTCGCACGTAAAAATTTGCGAGTAAAAATACTCGCGAAAAGATATACGCGCGCGACAAGGTGGAAGCCGCCGTACGCGCGGCATTTCAGCGCCTTGAAAGCGAACACCTCGGGGGAGAGGCGAGCCGCCAAGCGCTCACCTCGGCCCAGATATAGTACTCTGTGTTAGCGGTATTAACGCGCGCGACAAGGCGCTCCCAGCTCCACTTTGCGACTCGAGCGGCTGACGTCTCTCCGCGAGGAAAAAATTCTTAGGGCCATCTTCATGGAGCATAAGGCCCCGATAAAGCTGAAAGTAGGATGCCCTAAAAAGTGACGCCTCGTTATTATAACATCAGGCCCCGAGATGGATCCCTTTCAGGGATACTTTAGATTTTAATAAATATATAATAATAAGAAATAAGGCCCTGTTGATATATTGCCTTATAAGGCGCCCTTATAATATCCTATATTGTCTTATAAGGGCCCGTTAAATCCCATTTGTCATACATCTTGCAGGACCCCTGTCTTTCTATTCCTACTACACTAGGAAAAAAAATTTAGTATCTCTAACAAAACTGTTTAGTTGAGGCATTTTTTAATATGCAACCAAATATCTTGTTTTATATAACAAAATATTTAGTTGTCTCAACTGAATATATTTTTCTGCTTTGTTCTCTGGACCAAATGATTTTGTTCTTAGACTTCATATATAAAAATTAAGCACTTTAGTTATTTTATCCATAAAAATTACATAATAACGAAATATTATTTTACATAAACTAAAATAACGCCCAATGGATACTATTTTGTCTTTCCGTGGACTAAAATTTAGATTTTATATATTAAGAAAAAATTATAGTATTTTTAACAAAATTCATACAGTTAAAGCTTTTTGGTTGCTGTAACAAAAGTATCACGTTATACGAACAAACCGTGACCAAACGAGACATTTGTTTACAGAAACTAAACAGTTTTGTTGGGCATATTTTAACCAAATTATCTTGTTGTTAGAACAAAATTTTGGTTCACGCAACAATATATTTTTCCTAGTGTAGGGCCCGATTAATGTCAGAGAAAAACAATCAGGCTCTTACCAGAGCCTTATTAATTTTTCTACTCTCGGGTCCGGCTGTGGAGTGTCGCGAGGATGTCTCGCGTCTACGAACGGTCAAGCGACGCGGTCTCTATTAATCTCGGACTCGGCGCATAAATCTGCGTGCCGAGAGCGGTCGATCTTCGTCGCGACGGCGACGAGAATCGCGCGACGCGATTCGGCGCCAATTGATCAGTCC